GAGTTATGGTGCCTCAGGGATCGGAGGGAGGAAGCTTTGAGGCGCCTACTAAGAGGAAGCAACTCAGGGCAGGCTTCCTGGAGGAAGAAGTTTTACTTCGAGAAGACATAGAGGAGAGGGGACTGGTCAAGCTGAGAGTAGTGGGGGTGCAGTTCTCAGAGGGGCTGGCAGGGGCTGAAACAGCCGGGGGGGGAGCAGGGGAGGAAGGGAGGAGGCTTGAAGGGTATGAGGGGAGGGACAGAGCCTGGAGGGTCCTTGTTGGTCATGTCGGTCTGGACATTGTCTTGGGGGCTGGGGGTCCCTAGGGGTTGTTCCCAAGTTAGACAAAGGGCATTGAGATTTAGAATCCGGGGGATGGACAGCTGGGGCTTCAATCCCGACCTTGACACACACCAGCTGTGTAATGGCGGACAGATTAGTAAGTGTTAGTAGCTGCAGTCAACGTCTGCCATGTGCTCAGGTAAGGAGGCATGTGCGCTCCAACTTCCCAGCCTACATACGGACTTCCCTTCCCCAGTTACTCCTTCTAGCGGCAAGTATTTCATTTCTTCCTCCCAACTGCCCCGTGAGATAGTCGCTGTTGTTATCCCCGTTAAACAGATGGGTATCCGAAGTCCAAAAAAAGGTTACAACATGTCCTGCCAGGGCCACAAGCCAGTTAGCCTCTGGTCTCTCATCTGTGAAGCGGGGCTGGGAGGGCTTATGCCATAGGGCTGTTGCCAGGATTAAATGAAAAGATGTTTGTTAACTAAGGACAGTGCCTGGCACATAGGATCAAGGCCGGTTTTGGGCAGGTGCCTGTCATTTTTAGGAAAAGCAACAATGTTATTGGATAAAGAACGGGTCACATCCTGTGGCTCAGCGTGGAGACAGGCAGCCCCCTGGGAAGCTGCTGAAGGGTTGGAGGGGAGAATTGGCGATGACTTGGTCCCAAATTCGAGCTATGGTGGTGGAGGTGAGGGGCAGATTCCAGAGATGGCAGGAGCGGGTGGCAGAGTGGGTGTGGGAATAACGGAGACTGAGGCCTCCAGAATGACCCTCGCTTCTGTCTTGAACAGCTGGGTAAAGAGGTGGTGGAGCTCCGGTGGAGAGGTTAAGACCGGAGAGGGTCAGGGCCGAGGAGCAAAGTAGTGAATTCATTTTGGAGACTTCAGACTCAGCACATCCCTCACCCTGCGTGTCCTCACCCAGTTTCCCCGGCAGTTGGCTTTGCAAGCCTCGGGGGCAGAGAGCAGTTTGGGCGAGGGGGAGATAAGGAGGCTGGCAACATTTCCATGGCACTGAGCTGTGGGAGATGCATCCGGGCCGGGGAGATAGGGTGCGGGGCAGATAGGGTCCGGTTGGGGATGGGGAGGACAGATCCTGTGTGGGAAAGTAAGTTGCAACCAGAGAGTGAGGTGGAAAACCAGGAGAGCGTTGCTTCTGGGAGTTCAATGGAACGAAGGGGAAGCGAGCAAGAGAGCACGAAGTTAAAAAGAAAAGCTTTATTGAGATCGAGCAGATAAGGACTAACATTGGTCTGGGCTCAGCCACAGGGAGGTCGCCGGTGACCTGGTCTAGAACCGTCAGGAGTGTGATGGGCGCAGAAAGGGGACAGGGTGGAGCGACGACTGGGTGGGTGTGCGCAGGAGATGGAGGAGACATCGCTTTAAGAAACTTGGCTCTGAAAGGATCAAAATGGGGTAAAGGTTGGGGTACCTGGAAAGAGACAAGAGGAGTCTTTTTCTTTTTGTAGTTGGTTATCTACAGCCAGCCTTACGCTGAAACGCACATACAGAAAGGCTACGAGTGCTAAGTGTAAGTAAGCTCGGTGTATTTTCACAAGGGAACACACTCATAGAGGATCCGGAAATAGAACCCAGATTAGGAAATAAAACATAACGAGCACCCTAGAAGCTCCCTGCGCCCCCCTTCCAGTTGGCACGCCCCAAGAGTAACTACGGTTCTGACTTCTGTGACCATAGACTAGTATCAAGGGCACCAGACATATGTCCCCTTTGTGTGCCTGCTCTTTCACTCAACGCCATGTCTGTAAAATTGCTCCACATCGTTGCACGCCGATGTAGAGAGCTCCTTCTTTGTGCTGTGTAACATTCCTTTATCTACTGATGGGCACTTGAGTAGTTTCCAAGTTTTATGTGGGAGTGACCTGAGCTTGTCGAGAAAGTCTGAAACACATCTATGATCAGGGAGAGAGATGACGAGGGAGAGACACGTATTTCCTCGGGTGGGAAATGAGAGCCTGGCTGAGGTAGAGAATTGCTCTGTGGTTCAGTCCAGCTGCTGTGGCAGGGTCCCTGGCAGCTCCACCAGCCTGAGGGCAGGTACTGAGAAGGCTGGGAGTTGGGCTGCCCAGAGTTGGTTTCTGCCAGATGGGAGGGAAGTGCAGAGCACTCAGGACTTCAGCAGCAGGCAGCGATGGGGTGGTAGCTGTGGCTCCAGGCTGGAGAGAAGGGTGTGCAGGGAAGGTAGGAGGGAGCTGGCAGAGAGAAAGGAAGCAGAGGCGGATTGAGAGCTCTGCTCAGGGTGGTGTCTGTGAAATTCTAGGCTGTATCTCCAGTGACTGGCATATGTTGGCATAGGGTTGTCACTTGATGAGTAGTTGAATAAATAAGTCAAGGACTCACGAGGTCTCAGGTAGAAGGCAGGGGAGGTGGAGTGATGGAGAGAACCTAAAGTCTGTGGTCAGTGTGGTTGTGATTTAGGAAAGGGGCATTTCAGAGTCAGGTAGGTGGTAAGTCCCCCTGTGGGTGTTCCCATGGAGGGTAGCTAGAGAGACCAGAGTTGGGTGGGCAGTCCACCCAAATGCAGAGGTACCAGTTTAGCGGGCATACTGCTGGGTCTTCAACGAGGCAGAGGAGGGTAGCATTTCTCAAACTGGCATCCCAGGACAGCTGGGAATCTGAATCTAGGGGTGGGAGTGGGGGGTAGAAGGCAGTGCAGGTTGGGAATGCAGCCCCTGAACACCCCGCCCCCTCTCTCAGGGAGGAAGCAAGCTCAGCCAGCATTGAGCATCCAGAAGCAGGACCTACCCAAGTGCATGATGGGATGCCCAGTGGTCCTGGGCAGAGTGGCCCCTATTCAGGCTGGAGGTGGACAAGGGATAGTCAAGGAGACACTGGGGGTGGGAAGGGGCTGACCTGGGGAGTCAGCCTGTGTGAGCTGGGGGTCAGAAGGTCGGGGCCTCAGTCCTTGGATGCAGCTTCTGCTGGAGCGGCAGCCCCGGCTGGGCCACGGACCTGATCTCTCCTGGGGCCCTCAGGGGAGTGGGTGGCATGGCCCAGGGGGGCTCTCTGCACGCAGTTAGTCTCGGCTTCCCGCTGGGGCCTCCCTGCACCTCAGTCCCTCCCTCTCCTCAGCGGCCACTCTGTCCTCACTGGCCCAGTCCCGCTACTGCCCAAGCTCCTCCTCCGACGCTCTTAGCCCCTCTCTCCACCCTCGGCACACTCAGCATCCCAATTCTCAGTCCTCTCTGCCTTCAGCCCTCTGCGTGTCCAGCCTTCTCAGCACCCTCAAAAGCCGCTCTACGCCTCCTAACTGCTTTCCATCCAGCCCCCCTCAGGCCCCCCATTCTGTGTTTTCCTCCATATTCCCCCCCACGCCCAACTCCTTTCCCCCACTCCCGACTCCAGGGCAGAAGACCCCCTGCCCTAGGGGAACCCCCAGTCGCCCCTCCCAGAGGCCAGGCAGCCGAGGTCCGGGCGCCCCCTGGTCCGGCTGGGCCCGCCCCATCCCGGGCTGAGTCAGGCGGCAGGAACTGGGCGGGGGGCGGCGCCGGGAGGAGCTGAGGCCAGAGCCAGAGTCCGTGCGAGCCGCGGCGCGGAGCCCAGCTGCTGGGCACGAGTGGCCCTGGGTCCGCGGGGACGCCGGGCCGAGGCGCGGGGTGGGGAGGGGGCAGTCCCGGACCTACCATGAATGCCAAGAAGAAAGGTAGGATCCTGCCTGGGGCTGCGAAGCCTCGGGGGGCTGTCCCCAGGGGGTGCGGTCCGGCTTCTGGGGGCCAAAGCGCGCGTTTTGCCGGAGCGGGGTGGGGGCTCCCGCGCTCCCCTCCCCCGAGCGCACGGGCCGAGGCGCCGGTCCCGACCGGCTTCCAGGCGGGCGCCCCGGGAAGCGGCGGGGGCGGGGCGCTTCTCGGCACTGCTCCCCTCGCCGGGAATCCCCGGGCTGCGGGGCCGGGGGGGCTCGGCGTCCGGGCGCCCTGCAGCCAGAGGAGCTGGAGCGGAGCGGCGAGCGCGGGCGGGCGGGTCGTGGGAGCCAAGCCCGCTCCGGCCCGGCCTGTTGGGCAGCTCCGCCGGGCGCAGGGCGCGCGCCCCGCCCCGCCCCGTGACCTCCCGCGTCCTCCCGGGGTGGGGGCGCGGGAGCTCCCGGTCCACTGGGGTGCAGGGGGGGTCAGGGGCAGGGCTGGGGCGCCCGCCCCGCCCCCGGGTAAACAGGCGCTTCCGCACATTCTTCGCGCGCCCCGCCCCTTTCCTGCCCCTTCCCCGCCCGGGGAGGGTCCCCTCGCGACCCCCCTTCCTGCCCCGCGGCGGGCGGAGCCAGCACCTCAGCAGGAAGTGGGGGCCGAGCCGAGGCCACGCTGAGTCTGAGGCCGAGTCGCCCCGGCCGCCCTGTCATTAGCGCCCGGGACGGGGCGGCGGGGCGGGCGGGCTCCGGGGGTCGGGCCGCGGCCGCTGAGACGAGCTCGGAGGCCGGGCGGCGGGGAGGGGGCGAGCCCGCCTGGCGCTGGACACCCGCCCTCGCCACCCCCAGGGAGCCCCGCGCGGACTCACTCCATGATGTCCCTGTCGGTGCGGCCGCAGCGCCGCCTGCTCAGCGCCCGGGTCAGTAGGAGCCAGTCCTTCGCGGGCGTCCTCGGCAGCCACGAGCGGGGGCCCAGGTACGCGGCGGAGGGGGGCTGGCGGGTCAGGAGAGGGGTCGCGAGAGCCGGATGGGGTTGGGTCGGGTGTGGCAGTGGGTTTGGGGGAACTCCTCTCCCTTGCTGAGTGAAGCCTCTTCTTCAGGAGCATCCCGGCGTTCAGCCCCCCGGGACCCCCACGGAAGCCCCCAGCACTCTCCCGAGTGTCCAGGATGTTTTCCGTGGCGCACCCGGCCCCCAAGGTCCCGCAGCCCGAGCGGCTGGACCTGGTGTATGCTGCGCTCAAGCGGGGCCTGACGTAAGCGACTCCCCTGACCTCTGGTCTCCGGACCCCTCCGCAAGCCCCACCCCTTTCTGCTGGCAGGAACCTGCCCCCCACCTTTCCCTGGTCTTTACCCTGGGCAGCTGCAGGCGGGAGAGGTGAGCGGCTTGTCACCCCTTTCTCCAGGGCCTATTTGGAAGTGCACCAGCAGGAGCAGGAGAAACTGCAGGGGCAGATAAGGGAATCCAAGAGGAATTCCCGCCTGGTGAGTGAAGGCTTGGCCAGTGTGGTGTGGGGGTCTGGCAGGACCAGCTCTGGGTGACATCAAGGCTGTTTTCTGGGGTGACTTAGTGCAGGTGTGACTACAAAACAGGATCCCAGGAAAGGCTGGGGTGGTTCCCATCGCCAGGCCTTGCACTTTCTGCAGTTCCTGACCACAGATGCTTTCAGAGGGTGGCTCAGACCTCCGCAGACATGATTCTGATTAGTGGTCCTGAGGGAGACAGCCGTGGTTCTACCTGGAGAAAAGGTCAAGACATCTCAGAGGAGGAAATACTTGCTGGTCCCTTGACAGAGGAAACCCTGCAGAAGGGGGCACAGCTTTTTCCCCGGGGCTGCAAGAGAGGGAGTGGGTTAGGGGAGGGATTCCAGGGAAGGGGTGGCTTGAGGGCCAGATCTGTGTTACCAGTATCCACCAAGGGCCAGGCGCAGGGGAAGTGGGGGTCAGCTCTGCTGTAACTGAGTGACTGTGGACTTCGGTGTGAGGGAGGGAAGGACAGCCCTAGATGGGTCTGGGGGGCAAGTGTCCCCCCTGGAGTACTCCACATAGCTCTGACGTGCCCCCTCTCCTCTCCCCCTGCAGGGCTTCCTGTATGACTTGGACAAGGTGAGTGTGTAGAGCGTGGTAGTGGAAGAGGTTGGCTCACAGGGAGGGTAGAGGGCCCTGGCCTCAGCCCTTCCTGATGCACCTCTCCCCCAGCAAGTCAAGTCCATCGAACGCTTCCTGCGGCGGCTGGAGTTCCACGCCAGCAAGGTAGTGTGCAGCACGCGTGTGCACCCAGAGTGGGGGTGGGCTGCCATAGGAGATAGGGGAATGCGACGCCCCGAGCCGGCAGCCCAGTAGTAAACCTCAGCATCCTCACCGCCATCCTACTCACCTACCTAGATTGACGAGCTCTACGAGGCATACTGTGTCCAGCGCCGTCTTCGAGATGGCGCCTACAACATGGTCCGTGCCTACACTACTGGGTCCCCAGGGAGTCGCGAGGCCAGGGACAGTCTGGCTGAGGCCACTCGGGGGCATCGAGAGTACACTGAGGTGAGGGATGGATACCCATGAGGTAGAGGCGCAGGGCATGGTGAGAGGGCCTGGTTCTTGACCCCCATCCTGTCCCTGCTTGTCCCTCCCAGAGTATGTGTCTGCTGGAGAGTGAGCTGGAGGCACAGCTGGGCGAGTTTCACCTCCGAATGAAAGGTACTGAGTGCTGAGGCCCGGCTGGTGGGGGGCGAGGGAGGAAAATGCCTGCCTAATATCACCTGCCCCTCAATATCACCTTCCCCCCTCGCAGGGCTGGCCGGCTTCGCCAGGCTGTGTGTGGGTGATCAGTACGAGGTATGAAGAGTCATGGGGAAGGGCTGGGATGGCAGGTTGGCAGCGCCAAGGGCCGCCTCACCCTGCCTGTTCCCCCAGATCTGCATGAAGTATGGGCGTCAGCGTTGGAAACTCAGGGGCCGCATTGAAGGTAGCGGAAAGCAGGTGTGGGACGGCGAGGAGACAGTCTTTCTTCCTCTGCTCACGGAATTCCTGTCCATCAAGGTGAAGTCTCTGCCCCGGACCACAGCACCCCACGATCCTATGATTCCCTGATCCTGTGAATCCTTATGAACGGGGCCCCTTGCCCGGCTCCATGGCCCTCTGCATGTGTGAGCTGGTGGTCTGCATCACTGGTTTCTGTGGCCTTGAGAATAGTGGTTGTGGTTCCCATGAGGCATGACCCTGTAACCTCTGACCATCTGACCTCCTGAGCCTTCATGGGCCTGGGACTCCCATGACCTCAGTCGCCCTACCAACTCAAATCTCTGATCCCCATGCTCCCCGGCTGCTTCAAGCCACCATGGCCCCCTCACCCCACAACTCCAATCTCTGCCACCTCATTGCCTCAAAACTCTGGACCTTTGCCTGAGCCCTGTGCAATTTCAGACCTCTGATCTCCCCCATCTCATGGCCACTATACCCTGGTGACCCCACGATGCATTCTTGGCTACAGGTGACAGAGCTGAAGGGCCTGGCCAACCATGTGGTTGTAGGCAGCGTCTCCTGCGAGACCAAAGACCTGTTTGCTGCCCTGCCCCAGGTTGTGGCTGTGGACATCAATGACCTTGGCACCATCAAGCTCAGCCTGGAAGTCACGTGGAGGTCAGTGGGACCAAGGGACTTGGGAACTGGGCTGGGGGTGCTGCGGCACCTGATAACAGCCTCTTCTCCCTCTAGTCCCTTCGATAAGGATGACCAGCCCTCAGCTGCTTCCACTGTCAACAAGGCCTCCACAGTCACCAAGCGCTTCTCCACCTATAGCCAGAGCCCGCCAGACACACCCTCGCTTCGAGAGCAAGCCTTCTATGTGAGTCACAACCCAGGCTCAGGCTCCACCAACCCCCAGGGGCTCCCTGAGGATGACCCTAGAATGCCCTCGTCTCTCCTAGAATATGCTGAAGCGGCAGGAGGAGCTGGAGAACGGGACAGCATGGTCCCTGTCATCCGAATCTTCAGACGACTCTTCCAGCCCACAGCTCTCAGGCACTGCTCGGCACTCCTTGGCCCCCAGACCCTTGGTGCAGCAGCCTGAACCCCTGCCCATCCAAGTTGCCTTCCGTAGGCCTGAGACCCCCACCTCTGGGCCTGTGGATGAGGAGGGAGCCAAGGCCCCATCCCTGGCCAATGGACATGCCCCTTACAGCCGGACTCTGAGCCACATCAGTGAGGCCAGTGTGGATGCTGCCTTGGCTGAGGCTTCAGTGGAGGCCGTGGGCCTAGAAAGCCTAGCCCGGAGTCCTAACCCTCCTGCACACCCAGATCCCACCCATGGGAAACACACTAGTCCTGTTCCTCCTGCCCTAGACCCTGACCGTTCTGCCACAAGCCACACTCTCAGCACTACAGGCCCTGCCCACACAGCTGCAGACCCTGCCCCATCTGCATCCACAGGCTCAGTTCAGAAGGACACAGACTCTAGCCATTCCGAACTGCCAGGCCCTACCTCCACTACAGATGCCACCTCCACTACAGACGCCACCTCCACTACAGACGCCACCTCCACTACAGACGCCACCTCTACTACAGACGCCACCTATGGTGCTATGAGCCCTACCCACAGTGCTCTAAGCCTCGCTCACACTACCCTAGGTTCTGCCCACACACCCACAGTCTCTCTCCTCACTACTGCAGGTCCTACCCCCAGTGCCACAGGCCCAGCCCAGACTACCACAAGCCCCAGCCACAGTGTCAAAGACCCAGCACATACTGTCACAAGCTCCGCTGACAAGCCCACACTCTTCATCTTTACTACTACAGCCTCTGCCCCCAGTGCCACAGGCCCAGTCCAGACCCCCACAAGCCCCACCCACACTACAGTGAGCCCCACCCACACTACAGTGAGCCCCACCCACACTACAGTGAGCCCCATCCACACCACTGCAAGTTCTCCTCACAAAGCCAAGGTGTCAGCTCACACCACTACAAGCCCTATCCCCCTTGCTGAAAACTCGGTCCAGACCACCAGGAGCCCCACCCACCCGGTCACAAGCCCCTCTGTTGTAACTATAAGCCCTTCCGCTTCAGCAGACCTTGCCACACACCCCAGCCGCTCTGTACACACAGACCTAGCCCTTCCAGGCACGCAGCCCCAGACCTGTGGTCACCCAGCCTCCCCTCCCTCCACTCAGGCCCACCCCATAACCCCCAGCACCTCCTACCCAAGTCCTGCCTGTTCCAGTGGGGAATCCCTCACAAACCCTTGCCCCGAATCCCTGGAGCCCATCCTTAACAGCCCAAGCCTCCCTCCCTCACCCCAAGACCCCGTGCCCCAGCATTCAGACCTTAGCCTGGCCAAGGCTGCCCAGGCAAAGGTCCTGGGGGCAGCTGGAGGGACTGGGGACAGGAGGCTGGAGGAAGCACTGGGTGCCCTCATGGCTGCCCTGGATGACTATCGAGGCCAGTTCCCCGAACTGCAGGGCCTGGAACAGGAGGTGACCCGGCTGGAGAGTCTGCTCATGGTGAGGACGGCAGGGTGGGGCTGGGCCGTGGCAGCACAGAACACAGCAGGCCGCGGCCGCGGCTCTGACTCCCTTCACAACCCCAGCAGAGACAAGGCCTGACTCGCAGCCGGGCCTCCAGCCTTAGCATCACCGTGGAACATGCCCTGGAGAGCTTCAGCTTTCTCCACGAGGATGAAGATGAAGACAATGATGGCCCCGGGGAAAGGTGAGGGGCTGGGTGAGGGAAAGAGGTGAGGTGAGAGGGGGAGACAGGTGGGTGAGGGGGGGCCAGGGGAAGCTCGGGAGGAGAGCAGCAAGACTGAGGGCGGGCGGGAGGGGATGGACTTGGCGGGTGGCAGCTGTGTCACCCCTCCTGTGTGCTCCTCATGTGTCCTTGATGCCTGTCTCCAACCCCATCTGTGTCCTCAGTGCTTCTCACCACCCTCTTCCTCGTCCCTGCACTGCCCGCCTCCCGCGCCGGTCCCCATCAGCTCGTGAGCCACCAGCTCCTCCTCACCCTCGTGGCCTCCCCTCGGACCTGCCCTATGAGGGAGCGCTTTCAGTGCTCCCCCCCGCACCCTGGGTCTCCCAGCATCAACCCCTTCTGTCTCGACCCCGGCTGCCCCGGAGAGCCAGGCCCTTTGGCTCTCCGTCCCGGAGCAGCCCTTGCCGATTCCCAGTTGAGAGTCATGCCCGGCCCCTCCTCCCTCCGCTGCTGCCCAGGTTACGGCCGAGCGCCCTGCGCCCCTTGGGCCACCACCCCTTGCAGCCCACCTCTCAGAGATCTTCCCGCCTGCAACCTTACTGCCGCCCACCCCAGCCCCGGCAGCCCCGGCAGCCCCGGCGGTCCCAGCGGTCCTAGCCAAAGGTGGCCGGGGTGGCCCGGCTCTGGAGACTCCTGCTCCTCCTGCCTGCTGCTCCCGGCCCCTTCCTCTTCCCGGAAGTCCTGTGTGAACTTACCTATTGTCTGTTGTCTTTGTCTGTTCTTCTGGGCTGGGGGGAGCTTAATAAAAAAAACACAGTGGTGACCAGATGGTGATGAGTGCTCCTGGGGTGCTTGACCCCATTTTTCTCTCAGGCCCCCAAACAGTCCGGAGCCTGGGGCTGAAGATAGCCTAGACTCACCTAGTGCCCGTCCCCTCAGCACAGAGTGTCCAGCCCTGGACACTGCCTTGGTCCAGCACCTGTACCACTGCAGCCGCCTCCTGCTGGTGAGGCTAGTGGTATTCCCCCCACCCTCCCCTGTACCCCTTTCCTCAGGGAGCCATTGGCCCTCCTGCCTCCTCTGAGTTATACTCCCTAATGCCCTGGGCCCTGGCTGTGGGCTTTTGCTGAATGGAACACCTTCCACACTCTGGCTCCCCACCACCTCTCCCAATGCATGCTGGGACTTAAAGTCCCTGGGCTCTATCCTCCCCAAGTCCTCCCTTGAGGTCTGAGCTACTTGGCCACCCGTTCTCCAGAAACTGGGCACATTTGGGCCCCTGCGCTGCCAGGAGGCCTGGGCTCTGGAGCGGCTGCTGCAGGAGGCACGAGTGCTTGAGGCAGTTTGCGAGCTTAGCAGGCGATGGGCAATCCCTGCCACCTCTGCCCAGGAAGGTAAAGACCCCAGGGGCTCTGCCTCCCAGTCTGCCCCAAGCTCCCCCCTTGCCCGACCCATCTCCTTGTTCCCTTGCTGACGGTTTCCCCGCCTCCTCAGTGGTGCAGTTCTCAGCCTCTCGGCCCGGCTTCCTGACCTTCTGGGACCAGTGCACAGAGGGATGCAGCCCCTTCATCTGTCCTGTGGAGCGGGTGCTGCTCACCTTCTGCAGTCAGTACGGTGCCCGCCTCTCCCTGCGCCAGCCAGGCTTAGCCGAGGCTGGTGAGTGGGATGCCAGCCTGCCCTTTCTGCCCTTCTTTCTCAGATCCTCGAGGGGACCTCAGGGAAAGGCCGGGTCAGCCCACACAGATGTGCTGAGCTAATAAGCACTGGGAAAAGCAGCTGGTGTCTGGGCTCTAAAAGACCCAGATGCGTAGGATTTGGACAGGGCATGCCTGGACCTGAGACTGGGATGGGAGCGTCCTCTTCCTGTTGAGGGCCTGGGTCCATCCGAACCCTGAGGCCTCGGCACTGCCTCCCACAGTGTGTGTCAAATTCCTGGAGGATGCCCTGGGGCAGAAGCTGCCCAGGAGGCCCCAGCCCGGCCCTGGAGAGCAGCTCACCATCTTCCAGTTCTGGAGTTATGTTGAAGCCTTGGACAGCCCCTCCATGGAGGCCTTTGTGACCGAGTCAGCAGAGAAGGGTAAGGCAGCTGCCCTAATCACAAAGCCGGCTGACCCTAAGGGCGGGTGGATGTGAAGGCGTGGGCGAGGACAGGCATATGAAAGACCTCCCCAGCCCAGGAACTCCTGGCTCTGCCACCTTGTCCGACCCCCTCCCTCCTTTCAGTATTACTGGTGCGGAATCTGAACTCGGATGACCAGGCTGTTGTGCTGAAGGCCCTGAGGTTGGCGCCTGAGGGGCGGCTTCGAAGGGATGGGCTTCGGGCCCTCAGCTCCCTGCTTGTCCATGGCAATAACAAGGTCATGGCTGCCGTCAGCACCCAACTCCGGAGTCTGTCATTGGGCCCTGCTTTCAGGGAAAGGGTGAGTTGGGCAGGGCTCACTTAAGAACAAGGGTTGGAGTCTGGGCTTCCAATGTCCAGCAAATTTTGGTCTCTCGCCTTTACCCAGGCCCTGCTGTGCTTCCTGGACCAACTTGAGGATGAGGATGTGCAGATAAGGGTGGCTGGCTGCCTGGCCCTGGGCTGCATCAAGGTGACCCCTGCCAACCCACCTACCCTTCCTCTCCCCTCCCCCAGCGCCCCCTCATGACCCTGGGCCTCTGCCCCCTGCTCACCTTACTGCTTCCTCCCCCTGTAGGCCCCTGAGGCTATTGAGCCTCTGGTGTACCTGTGCCAAACAGACACCGAAGCTGTGAGGGAAGCTGCCCGGCAGAGCCTGCAGCAGTGTGGTGAGGCCGGGGGATTGGAGATGTGGGTCAAGAAGTTCTGGGACATTTTGTGGAGGGAAGTAGGGGTGAGGTGAGGTTGGGGTGGAAGGGCTGGGAAGGGGCTACGGGAACTCCTGACCCCATCCTCACCCATTGCAGGGGAAGAGGGACAGTCTGCCCACCGAAGGCTGGAGGAGTCTCTGGACGCCCTGCCCCGTATCTTCGGGCCCGGCAGCATGGCCAGCACGGCATTCTAAACCCCCACCTGCCGCTCCCACTGCCCCTTCTCCCCACTTTCAGGGCTCATCAGGCACTGGCAGGGAGGGTGAAGGCTGGCTCCAGACACCCCTCCCCCACAGATTCCTATCAATGAAAGTCTAATATATTCTTCCGTTGCCCCTGGGGTTGGTAGAGTCAGTGCCTGCAGTCAAGTGCCTCCCAGCCTCGGCTCAGCACACTTGCCACAATCAGTGTCCCGGGCCTGGCCCTCCTGCCTCTGCCCTGCTCCATCTTTTGGTTTTTTGTATTTTATTTAGAGTTTTACAGAAAATAAAAATGCAAATTGCCTTTCCTAATGTCCTGACCCTCTTCTCTAGCACCTTCTAGCTATGGCCCTTCCTGACACCTCTGCGTCCACATTCCAGCTGTGACAATGGCACATGCCTTTGTCTGGAAATCCGGGTGGAAGAGAGTCCAGAGGCTGCTGAGAGAAGCGGGAAGAGCAAGAGGGCGGTGGGGTTGTGGAGGAAGTGAAGGCTGGCCAGTCCTGAGCTATGGGCCCCTGCTGGACTGTGGAGTTGGACTGCGGAGTTGGCAGAGAGAGGGCCTGGAAGGCCCCAGTCCTGGGAACAGCTCTCAGCACCTAGGGTCACCTAGAGGCAGGGAGCAGGCTGGGGAAGGGTGGTGGTATGGGAGCTTTTCGCCACCAGGGGACAGCAGAACCCCATCCGTGAAGGCCAAGCTGCAGCTCTTCCCCTTCGGCCCAGGCAGCTTCCTATAGAGGGAGCTGAGGGCAAGGAGCTCCCCCCGGGCTGCAAGTAAGGGAAAGGAGATCCTTACAGAGGGGAATTGGTGGCGCCTAGGAGGCAGAAGACCCGGATGGATGCCCTGTGACCCTGAACAGTAAGTCTCTCCTCTGCCGGAGCCACCTTCTCTGTAATAACAAACCTGACTGAATTCTGTGGCTGACCAATCCATGCGGCTGCCAGAAGCAGAGACCTGTGGGAGGCCCACGCCCAGGGCGGGAGAAAGAAGCCCTCCACCCTTCCCCTCTCTCCAGAGCTTTCATTATGCCCTGGGCCTCCACTCCCTGAGCCCACTCTGGTGTCACAGTGCCTGTGGCAGTAACACAGCAGCGTGATACGCTGGTAGTATGTTTGCCGCACTCTGGAAGAGCCATTGAGGTGCCAACAGTCCTGTGGTGGTGGTGGTGGTGGTGGTGGTGGTGGGGTGACCCAGATCCCCAGGGAGCCCTGCTCTCAGTGTTTTGGCACTGTGTGAGGAGGTTTGGCTGGGTCCTTAACCACCTGCTGGGAAGTCAAGCAGAGCAGAAAGAAGAAGAAAAAAAAAAAAAAAAAAAAAAAAAAAAAAAACGGCAACAGGAAGGCGCACAGGAAACACCTGTGTGTGGATGCAGGTGGCTCATTCCAGAAGGGTGGGGGTGGGGCGGGGGCAGGCCAACCGCCCTCAGCACACTGGCTGTGCTGTACTCCCGCCGTAACTCTGGAGGGTGGCGTGGCGGGGATGGCGCAGCTCAGCTTTTTGGTCAGCTGGGGCAGCAGGGGGTGGAAAAGGCAAAAAGTGTCCAAGCCAGCAGCCACAAGAGCCATTGCTCGTGGCTGCCCCAGGGGTCCCTGCAAGAGGATTGTAGACCCAGAACCACCCTAGGGCTGAGGCCCAAGAGGCCCACTGGTAGGGCAGGACTGTCCACGTGCACCCCGAGCGCAGCCGCTGTGGTAAGTAAAGAGGAAGTGAACAATGGTTGACCAGGTCTCGGGAAAGTACAGGCGGGGGCCTGGGCCAGTGGGAGCTCACAGCTCAATCCACAGGAGAGGACGGGGCCTGGGCAAGACATGGAGGCTGCAAAAATATCACCCCAGCTGGGGTCACTGAAAATCTGAGTGGCCCTACATTCCTGCTCTCTGAGGAGGGTCCTGAGGTCCCTGCAGCCAGCTGTGGACAAGAGTGGGTGCGAGGTCAGGAGGGGCAGGAGGCGTCTCACAGGTGCTTCCCACCGGGCAAGACTACTCCCAGCATCCCCCCCACCCCCAACCTCCTACCCGGCTGTCAACAGGTTCCGAGAGGCACTCGTCCCTGCTGCCCCGCACTCTGGACAGCAGGGAACCTGCTGCCCCCAGGTGATGGCGGGTGAAGACACCACTAGGAGTCAAGGGCACGCAGGCAGGGAAAGCCTGTACCCAGGTCCTGTGGCGCCTGTACCAGCCTCCGAGGGGACTGAAGGAAGTGGGCCTCTAAAGCCTCTGACACACCCGGAAGCACCCCGTCAGTCACGTCCATGGAGGCCACAGCCTCACGTTGCCCATCATTACTGGGACTTTCCCCGGAGGAAACAGAGCGCACTGCAAAAAAGGGACCAGGCCGAGGTAGTCCAGGATATGATTTATTGTGTCGGTGCTCACTGGAACCTCCCCCGCCCCTGCTGTCCTCTTCAACCTTACCTTTCCTCCCGTCTCCCACACTGCTTCCTCATGCATTCAAAGCTGCGGAGAACCAAAAAAAGAAGAAAAAGGCATGTTTGTGAAGGCAAAGAGGCAGATGGGTTGGCACATGGGAAGAGGACTGCTTCTTTGTCTCGCCCACAGAGCGGGGGTGCCTTCCTTGTGTTTCTGTGCCTGGTGTGTGGGTACAATTTGCTGAACCCTAGGCATATGACATGCTCCTTCCTTCCCCCCCACCCTCCTCGGCATCCCTGGAGGGTCCTAATTAAGGCATCCATCCCCCATGGACACAGCCGCTTGGCTTGGCTGCTGGACCTGGCTCTTCTGGGCCTGGGCAATACAGGAAGCTGAGCTTGCCAGGGACTCCGAGGCCTATCTGCACGAGAAGGCAGAGCACTCTGTCACTCAGGAAATAAGACTGTCGTTGGCCTGCAAGAAAGGAGCCTGCTTCAGGAGGTGGCGATCAGGTGATGGCTGTTTGCCTGACCTGATGTCAACGGTCCAGTTTCGCTCGGTACACCCAGGACATACGGACCCTAATCATTGTTGACTTAGAGCAGCTGAATAAACAGCTGAACTGCTCTGGCTAACACCTACGTTTCTAGCTATTTCCTCTGAACCTCCTTACAACCGTCCCTGCCACCGCCTGGCGCATCCTCTCACAAACATCTCTCTACAGGATTCCCTTTCGGCCCTCTCCTCGCTCGTGAAACACTCCCTGAAGCAACTTGTCCATTCCTCCGGGCTCCATCTGTGCTGAGGCTGTAAGCCGAGGAGTGTCACTTCCAGACCCCCATACCCAACTGCTGACCTCCTTTGAACGCTGGAGTACTTCAAACTCAATGTGCTCAAAGTCAAACTCAACACCTCAAAGCCTGTTTCTTCACCAGGCCTCTGGAGTTAACAACTCCTCAGTTCCCTGAGCCATACAGCTGGGCCTCATCCTTAAGTCTTTAGCTCTGCCCCCTCTTCCCTGTCACTAGAATCCTTGCAATTAAATGTTCCAGATATTTCTAACTCCCGTTCACTTTATCCCCATCGCCACCACTCAGGTTCAGGCCACACTGGCCTCTCACCTACACATTAACCTGCCCCTCCCAGGCGCGTCTGGTCGTGCCCCTCTTCCATCCCTTCTCCTCAGGGCAGACTGGTTTCTAAAACATGAACCCACCTCTACAGGCTCTCTGTTTGGTAAGGAAAATTCTAGCCCCCTCATCCTGTCTCACAAACCTGAGTCAGTTCCCCTCACAGCCTCACTTCTAGAGCCGCCCGACTTCTCGCTCGGCCCTGGAGCGTCAGCAGACCACTCACAGGGCCTGCTTGCCTCTCCTGGTGGGGTGAGTCCTCACTCAACAAAGCCTGTAGGCTCTTGGAAACTGACTTTAAGGGAAGCGACATAACAAAACCAGCTCCTGGACATTTCATTCCGCCTCACTGGGATGTTTTTCTCATCGTTACACTGAAATGCCGTTAAACAAACAACATCATTTGAAGACCTGTAGCACACGCTTCCCATCCCACATCTTGCCCAGCAAGTGCCTGTTCACCTGACAGGCTTCAACCCTGACATCGCCAATGTCCCCAGGAGGCGGCTCCCCTACTGCAGGCCCCTGCGCACTCCCTGGCGTGGCACTAGTCGCTGTACTACCAGTACCTTGCGGTCACTTGTGTACTCTGTCCCCCTGTCCATCCGCCCGCCGGTATATAATGACTGTTCCACTAGGCAGCAGACCACCCAAATCTGTTTTCAAACAGATATTCTGAGATTTAGTCCACATGCCACCCAATTCTGCCATTGAAAGTGTACAATTCCATGGCTTTCAGTATGTTCACCGAGCTATGCAATCATCACCGTGGCCAACTTTAGAGATTCCCATCAAACTGGAAAACTCTGCACCCTTTACCTGTCATTCCTCCCTGCTCATGCGGCAAACACAAATCTACTTTATGTCTCTATAGACTTGCCTAGTCTGGACATTTCTTACAAGATAAATCAAGTTAGGTCTTCCCAATTTATCCAGATCCAAGATTCACCGGAGAATTTCCAGTGTTTCCACTGCAGAGGCCTTGGGTGGGGTTAGGGAATCTGTGTTCCAGGCAATTCTCTAATCAGGTTGCGTCTGCCTTTACTATTCCCAACAATCAAGGCCAAATACACAGTAGGTGGCCAAAAACCAGCTTTTGACGAAAGCCTCTAAGACTTGTCTCTAGCTCTCGGTTTTTTATATCCAGTTCCCTAATTGATGTATTGGTCTTATCTCAAACACGACTTGAAAACCTTTCAAGTATAAAACTACTATATGTTTAATGCAGAAAAAAATCCTGGAAACTCAAAACGCTCCTGGAAGTGCCCCATGAAGCTCAGCTCTTTAAAATGCACTTTCACCTCTGGGGTCTCAGTTAAGGCCTGGGTGCAAGGCTGGGCAGAGCACAGTGCAGGGAGGCAGAGCTGAGTTTTAACAGGTGGAGGCAAGCAAGCTGAATCCAGAGGCCCAGTCAGAAACATGGCTGAAGAGATGAGTAGGGCTAGGATGGGGGTGGAGTTGTGCAGTCTCTGAGAAGTTTGGAATTTACCCCCAGTGCCCCGGGGGAGCCCTCTGAGGACTTGAAGCAGGGTAATGTGACCACATCTGTGCTTCAGAAAGACCACTCCGGTGCTTGGAGAGAGGAACAGGAAGTAGTGAGGAGTCTGCGCTGTGGTCAGAAGTGACAGTGGCTTGGGTCAGGAAGAGGCAGCGGGATGAAGAGCAGGTTAGAGTGACGAGGGGTCCTGAAGGCAGAGCAGACAAGACTCTGGTGATGGAGAGGATGCTGGTAGCTTTCAGGGGAGAGCCCTAGAAGCACAGTGGGAGAGTGACCTGGGAGCGATCCAGGAGGAAGTATTTAGAAATAAGCTG